AAAAAAAGAAACTAGTGGCCACGGTTTTTCGAAATACGTTGCTGAAGACTTATGGAATTTTTTTTTGCTAGTTTTTTAATCTTAAATTGGTATTTCATCACTTTTAGCACTCAACATGCATACTGTGCAAATGATAAATTCAGTTATTTACTGGTTCTTCATCTTTTTGTTTTGACTGATACCTTTTCTTAAGCCATATATCGAAAACGTGGATGAGTTTAAACAAGACATTGCTGGACATTTTTACAATCAATGGATTTCAAATTTTCTTCTCACTGTGGATACATTTTTGGTTTTGGGTGGGACTGTAAATGCATATGGATGGTTCTCAAAAATTCAACGTTTTGGTCAGTGCATTCTTTTCTTCCACTTTCAATAACAATTTAACGCTGCATCTTTTGTTCAGTTTCACAACTAGTTTGACTGAAATTAGTCTACATTAGTTGTTAATTTTTTTACTGCAAAAAATATTTAAATACGGCTTATAGAATGTGCATTACTTAGTCTATGAAAGAGAGTTCTTCTATTTGAATTTTCTAGAGATATTAGCCATCATTTCAGAGGAAAAACCCGGATGGCTTTCCTTCTCCTATTGGCTTGCTTTTTACAGACATCGAATTGTTCGACTGTGGCCAGCCTATTTTTACACATTGGCTGGAGTAATCTTCCTTTCCAGTGTTCATTTTCATGATTTTTGGCCTGAGCTAGACCCTGTCGAACAGTGCTCAAAATACTGGTGGCAAAATTTGCTTTTTATTAGCAGTCTTTTTGGCAACAAATGTATGGGGTGGACATGGTGAGCATCTTCTTTTCTTGTCTTTCTAACGAAATATTTTTCTTAATTGTTCATTCTCTAAATTAGCACTATTAATTTCGTAAAGTTTAGTGATGACGAAAAAAAAAAGAACCAACATTAGTTTCAAAGAACAAGTTAGTTAATGTAAGGGATAAAAAGGTTCTTTGCTGGAAGATATTATCATTTAAATCAGCTGTTATTTAGGTATATAAGCACAGAATTTATGTACTATCTCATGTCGCCAATATTCCTAATTGCTCTACATAAATCACTAGTTTTCGGACATTCTCTATGTATCGCAACGATTTTACTGTCTTCTGTTTTTCGTGGTTATGCAATGATCGTTTATAATTTACCAGTAACACAACTGGGATGGGTAGAACCAAAAATATTTACTGGAAATTTTATGGAGGTTTTTACTTCGCAACTTTTGCTTTAAAAAATTTTAAAAGTTATATTCAACAGAAGATTTTAGCGGTGTTTATGCGGCTATTAAAACTTTTCATCGGTGCTTAAACGTTGTACAATTACAGCATTTTGCTGAAATGTATATAAAGCCACATTATCGTATTGGTCCTTATATTATCGGATTAATGTTAGGATATCATCTGTTTAATGTCCGCAACTCATTGCCGAAAAGTTTTAACCGAAATCACTGTATTGGCTGGACTATATCTACAATTCTAGCATTATCTTCTGTCTTTGGACTGTATCCAATATTACAGGTAGAACTTTGATAGCAAACTGCTGAGCGCTATTATGCAAAATTTACTTGCCATTGGTACTCGCTTTTTCTTCAGAAATTTACAATTCATAAGACACTAGATTTTTTCTTATTTTTTTAATGAACATTAATGTAAAAATATTTTATGTTTAGAGATGGGATTGGCCAATTTATTATGTCATTTATGGATCTTTTCATCGAGTCATTTTTGCTCTAGCCATTGCATGGGTAATTTATGCTTGCCATACTGGTGCTGGCGGTTATGTTAATCGTTTTTTAAGCTTAAAACTTTTTTATCCATTCTCATCGCTTAGTTACACGGTTTGTGATTTGAGATTTTGTTTTTAGATCATGATACTGTTCTCGTTAAAATTAAAATTCAGTTTAAAAATCTAAATTTTTTTGTAAATTACTGTTACTCTGAGCAGCATACCTGCAGAAATGACCCACATTGAAAATTTACAAAGGCATAACCTAAGTCCAACTAGTTTTTAATTCAGTTTTGTTTAGTCTCAGGTAACTGCAATAAATATAAAAATAGAGGGTTACCTTTTCAAGCCCGATACTAGGTGGAAATTAGATTTGTTGATCATTTTTGTTACATTGAAAACACGCGAAGTAAATCTATGAAGTCTACACTTAGATTGATGAACTGCAAATAACAGATAACTTTTTTGCTAACAACATTTGGGCATAAAAAAATCACAATTTTGCGTAATTTCCGAAAGAATTTTGCAGGCCAACAGTATTCAATAAAGAATATATTAATACAAATTTAACAAAGAAAAAAATCATTAACCAATAAAAAATTAAATTTTTTGACGGTTGCAATTGAAACAATTCTAGTTTCGGTTGGTGAAACTGAGTGTATTCTTTCATTAAATTTAGTTCAGCTTTCTTTATAAAGTATATAAACTATTTCAGGTTTATTTAAGTCATATGCCGGTTTTATTTGGATCATTTCTGCAGCTTTCATTTCCATATCATTATGCTGGTAAAGTACCAATGATAATGCAGTGTTTTGTATCGGCTATATTTGCTCATATTCTGGGATTGCAATGTACGCTATTATCTGAGCTACCTGGTATTAACATTGAGAAAATTCTTCTTAAAAATTTTACTAGAGATACGCCAAAAACTCCAGAACTAAGGAAATTACCGTCAAAAGCGAGGGCTCCGAACAATCAGAGTAGTGACAGTAGTTTGTAGCTTGCCGTTGGATAGCGGGCAGTGATTAGGCTTTGATTGTTACTGTTAACCAATCTATAGACCTGTTCAGTATGAATTCAGTTTTTTTCAATGCAAATTTTCCTTTCTAGGTTGGTTAACATTCAGTTTATTAAGTAGTTGCAGATGTATGATTTCTCTGTATAGAAAAGCCAGAAGATTAGTTGAGTTAATGAGCACAATACCGTACAAAAACCTTCACATATATCAACGATTAACGATGCCAAATTATATATTATCTTCTGTTTGTGGAGCTCAAATAAATTAAATTTTTTTTGGTATAAAATCGGCACTGGAAGTATGAATTGTGCAAAAAATCAACTTGTCTCACCGCAGAGAGGAAACTGGTTACAGTTTTCTCTGAACAGTTACCAACTTCTTTTTTTTTTTTTGATGGTTGCTTAGAATAAAATTTGTGGTATCATCAATGAGCATTATTTTGAGAAATAATTCCAAAGTGTTGCGGGTAAAAGGGCTACTAAATTGTACAGTTTTTCAACTCTTTATAGTTAACTTATTTATTCTTGAAAAAAAAGTATAAATGCTGCATTTTTTTAGCCGTTTCTAATTACGTCATTCGTGGCTTTTTTTTCTTTTAGTTTTACTTTAAGAGTTCACAGTTGATTGGTGAAATGATTTTCTATTATTTATAGTCTCTTCGCTCTCCTGTGATTGACAATTCAATAAGCACAATTTACTGTTGAACTCTCAGATTTTAAACACCAATGATTAATCCATTAATTAGCTGTATTTTTTATTTGATTTTATTTTTGTTGTTGCTGTTGCTGTTGTTGTTGCCTTGAATCAAGTTTTTTACGATGTTCAATACAGTTAAAAGACGTTTTCTTGAGTTGACATGCGATACGATGTTTTGTGAATGTTAACATGATAAAATTGATAAACTTTGTGAATTCCAACGTACAGTGTGCTGAGCAGTAAATCAGAATAAAACTCAAAACTTAAACCCTGGAACTGTTGAAATCTAGTCTTTGAGAAAAATAACTTGATTTTCTTATAAGTTGAACAATTTTGGTGCTTTACAAAAAACTTCAATTTGAATTCACCAAAGAGTAAAGTTCATAGAACTGTGATTTGGGAGGTTCTAGAATAAATGCAAGAAAGATTATTACTAACAGACAGGACCAACAATGGTCAATACTTCAAATGCTAATTGTTGCCGTCTTAAACAGATGTTACCTAATGGGTAATCGTTGTAAAATTTAGTTCCACATAGCCATACAGTAGAAAATAAATGTCCGAAGAATGACTGTGTAATCCAATCAGATGCTGTGCTTTAAAAAACAACAATTATTTACTTATTAATATAATTACTTTATTGATACAATATATTGTAACTCAGTATTTGTAATCAATACTGAGACTACCATTCTTTTTTTTCATTTTGTTTTTGTTTTTTTTATTTTTGTTTTATGAAACCAAGGCAAAATTTCAAAAACAAATTACAAATACGAGAAGAAAAAAGGAAAAAGCCATCTTTAATAGGTTTCCAACTTGTTTTTTTTTTTTTTTATAATTTAAACATAGAAGAAATAAAAAAAATCATTACTTTAAAATTTGATACTGTTATGCGTTTAAAAGCAAAAAGCATAGAGACATAAAAGCCATTATAGATAACATATAATTCAACACCGAAACGATTAATGGTATATGATGATGACGATGACAATAATAATAATAATAAAAATAATAATAGTAATGATGATAATAAAAAAATAAAAATAACAATAATAATAAGTTTAAAAAATGTATAATTAAAAATAAAAAGAAAAAAATGAACTGTACATATCATATGCCCGACCATTCAAAACAAAGTTTTGAACGGTAAACTGGTAATTTGCGCCAAAGAAACTGAGGGACACACTGAGAGAAGTTAACATTGCACAAGCATATATTACTTCTTTGTCAAGACGAATTTTTGACAACTGTAAAATGAAAAAAGTCAGGACATAACGAAAGACATTGTTTCTTCGACTATACAACAGATCAGATACAAAGCACAACACCTGAGGATACCAAAGCCTTAGGTTCATTTTGTTTGGGGAAGCTATGTTAAGGAATTTGCGGGCAAAAAAACTGCTCAGTGGAGAGGGACAGGAAATTTAAAGCGGCTATTGTGGAGGGGGAGGGGGAAGAAAACAGATTAAACATTTTCCATATAGTTGTTGAATCGTACCCCACTACAGATTTGATCAGATAAAACAAAAATTTTTACTTTTGTATAAATTTCTCTCTTTTTTTTGGCCACTGATATGGTGACAAATTTTGTGATCTTCTAGTGCATAATTGTACTTTTTTTGGTCTGATCATTTAAAATTGGAGACAAATGGAGTAAATCAATTAATGAAGAAATATTTAAGAAAAAACTGTCTAGGAGTTGTTGAGATCAAAAAAAAAAAAGCAGTGGCGGTAATTCGTTTTGATATCCTCCCTACATTTATTAAATGCTTAACAAAACTACT